TTGCGACAGTGTCTCTCAAGCCACCCCACCCCAGAGCCCGTATGAAGTAGGCTCTTGGCAAATGCTTGCATCTACTGCATTGGTTTGGAGTTCAGGAGTGAGCGTCATAGGAAGGAAGGCATCAAAAGCATCCTTTCCCGGTGGCAGGATGGACAGGACATTTGAGGTTTCCTGGGCCCTACCGAGAAGACCTTGCAACCCACCCTGGACCAGATGCTCTCCTTTGTACTGAAAAGCTTTCCACACCTGATTCACCTCTTATAATGCTCTGCTTTTGAATGGGAAAGGTGCCCATACCTTGGCACCAGATTAGAATTACCTGGGAACTTTTAAATTTTTCTGATTTTCTGGCCATACTCAAGATCTAACATATTGAGTCTGGGGGGTGGCCAGGGTTTCTTTATCTTTAGATGGTGGTGGTGGTGGTGGTGGTGGTGGTGATACTGGTGAAAAAAAATGCCCACGTGATTCTGATATTCACCAACGGTGAGAACAGCTCTTGTGGGGACAGAGGTTGAGCCACACCCACCTATTTATGTCCTTACTCATCCTGCACTTTGAGCCCTGGATCCCAGGAAGCTGAATTCCTCAGACTTAAACCCAGCATGATTGTAAGACCTTGACTCTTGAGAGATGTTTCCCAGGTGCTGGGGTGTGTATTCTGCTCAGTCAATTTCCTCATTCTGGGAATATTGATAGCACCTGAGTGTCTTACTTTTCCTGTCCTTGTGAGAACTTCAAGAGGGATGAATTTACCTGGACTCTGGATGGAAGAGGATTTGCCTACATCATGACGGAGAAGGCATGGCAGCACTCATGGCGGCCCGCTCGAGTGGCTCCTGTCCCTGGCAGTGGCCATGGGAGACAAGTTGCTCACACCTCATTGAATGAGGGCACAGAGAGCGTCTGGGGCTAGCAGCGAGGCCAGGGCCTATCACTCTATGTTAGATCCCCAAAGTTCTATGTTCTTCCAGAACAGCACCACGCCCTGGGGACCAAGGTGAAGCACATGAAAGTGTGGGGACATTTCATATTCAAACCACAACAAATATCTTTTTCATATTCTGCTACGTGCGCCTCCATCTGAACCATACATAGGTGCTATTTCTTCTTCCTTACATATATGAATTTTTAAACCTAGCAAATCGCATGCTTCAGATAACTACTGTAAACACAACACAGTGTCTTTTCCTGGCATAGAAAGCCAGCCGCCATTAAACAGAGCAAATCAAGCCACTCCGTGAAAGTACCGCTAAACTCATGGTCGCTCCCTAAGCTTCCCAGCCCAAGTTCTGCAGCATCAGGGTTAAGCGTAGAAGTTGGTCGGGCGGGGACATGGCTCCGGGTGTAAAGTACTTGTCGTGAGGAACAAAGGCGGGAGTTGAATCAACCAGAACACAGGTAAATGCTGGGTGGGTGTGGCAGCCCACCCGCAAATCTAGTTCTCAGAAGGTGGACGTTGGGCATCCCCAGGGAAAGCCAACCAGTTAGCCTGGCCTGTGTTGGCAAGCTCTGGGCTGCATTGACAGACTCTGCCTAAACGAGAGAGTCACCATGGAAAACCCCTGTTGTCACATGCACCCACACACTTGTGAGCATGCTCACACCCACATGCACACCAGACACAGACGCAGAAAACACCAATAGAAGAAGAATAGATGGCGGCCCAGGTGGCAGGCCTGAGAGAAGCAGAGAGTTTCTCAAAGTGAAAGAGGTTTACAAGGGAAGGGGCTTCTCCTGGCGCGGTGTCGAAACGTGTTCCCGTTTAAACCTGCGCCGTGTCCATCGGGCTGCTATGGCGTTCGGCTCCCCCTGGCATAGATGGCATCATCGCTGTTGATGGCTAGGCATAGTACTCCTGCAGCTCAGGCCCACAGGCCTAGGGGTGACACCGCCCACGGTGGGCTGACCATCCTACGTCAATTAGCAAATAAGAAAATGCCTTGCAGACATGGCCACCAGCCAGTCTGATCTGAGCAGCTCTTCAGCTGAGTTTCTCCTATCCTAGGTGACGTTAGATTTGTGTCAAGTTGACAGCTGAGGCTAAGAAGGACAACATCTTGGCGCCCCCTCTTTTTACGGCAATGCCTTGCACCCCCTAATGTATACTACAGAAATTTGTCAAATGATGCTTTGAACATAATACCAATCCCAAGGCTAGAGGTTTCCAGAGAAGATGGCAAGTTCATGCTGAGCTCTTCCAGCCCCCTCCCCCGTCCCCCCCTGAGTCTATACCTCCTGGTCCCGAGACTGTAGAACTGTCCCCTACAGTGGATTCACAAGGTCAGGACTTCCTACGCGTATTCTGGGAAGCCATAGTTGATACCTCTTGGTTAACATTGCCAACTGTGACAATACAGGATTCCTCTGCCTCAGTTGCCAAGAGATAGGGTGGTGTGGGGTGAGGTGGGCAGGGGTGGATGCTGTCTGGGTGGCTGAAGCCAGGTGATGTTGTTACATGTAGTACACATGTAAGTGGAGGTGTTGACAGTGACTAATA